AAAGAAGATCTTTTTAGCCCATACAATGCAATCTAGCGGTAAACATAACTGGTTACCCGCATTTTTCTGTTCTGCAGATAAAAGATAATAAGGTTTGGAACGAATACAAGGGTGTGTAAATGATAACAGGAATAAAAAAATGTTGGGGGGGGGCGGGGTGAAGTATCCCTTTAAGTCTCAATATTTTAAAGGGGTCATATGATGCTGCTAAAAATAACATTATTTTGTGTATTTGGTGTAATGAAATGTGTTTTAGGTAGGCGTGGCTGACTCTTAACTTTTATAAAGAATATTTCTTTGGATTTGAGACTTTAGTCTTTGCAACTTTACAGATCTTCTTTATGCACCAAGAGCTTGTAACACTCCAAAGAGAAAGGAAAAATTGAAATCGCATCATATGACCCCTTTAATTATCATGCTATTAGCACAAGCAAATACCTTGAGGTTTCCCGATTCTGCTCTCCGCATGTAGATGTAGACCCTGGTCAAAATGAGAAGACCAGCTGCTAGGAGGAAGATTTTTTTCAGATGGCATCTCATCACACACCGTCTTCTGTTAAGACACACAAGGTACTATCAACATTAAACACACATGATGAGCTTCACTTATAACTCCAAATGCTGTTTTTCCAATATGTTTGATTGTCTTTAATCAGTAGCTGCATTGTTCAATTATTCACATGACCCAGTTTGAATAATTAATGGCCGATTATGAACCATTCAGCTCACACATTCAACACTGTCATTTAGAGCAGCAGAACAGTGCTTCTCAAACTAGCAAGTCGCCATCCACACGGCAGGGAAAAGTTGCAAAGGGAGTGTAAACGTAGATGTCGGTGAATATGAACATATTTACTATTAATGAATATTCCATATCAGCAAAAGTCAATAATATCCGATTTCAAATTTATTCTAAGGATGCAAAATTCAGTGCTTGTTGTTTTTTTTACCATGAATCTGAGAATTTCCCTGTTTAATACTGAACTGTGCTGAGAAATATAGCATATTCATATTCAGAACTCATTTAGTGACAGAATAGCTTACTAATTTTATATCCAATTTTTCTCCTGTCATGCTCATGTAAAGCCAGGACCCTGGTGACTTTCCCTTGGTAAAACACAAACATGTTTACATGGAATATAATATTCCCCTGCAGGAATTACTGTACCTGTGTAACGCATAACCAAATTGTCTAGTTAGTAAAGCAGCATCACCACAAGGATGATTTAGACAGCCCAAATAACACATTTTGTAGAGGGCAATTAATAAAAGTGCGTTATCAAAAACTTAACCCCTCTGAAATGTCTTGCTCCATAGATTTTAACTGTAAGTGCTTTAATATAAACATGTTTTTTTTTCCACAGCATGTCATTATTTGCTTTCCATTGTAACTTCCAAAAACATTGACTGTAATAAGTCCGAAAGTTGATTTAAACCAGTGGTCTCAAACTCAGTTCGTGGAGGTCCACAGCTCTGCAGAGTTTAGCTCCTACCTGCTCTAACTCACACCTGCTTGGAAGTTTCTAGTAATCCTGAAGACCTTGATTAGCTGGATCAGGTGTGTTTGATTAGGGCTGGAGCTAAACTAGGCAGAGCTGTGGCCCTCCAGGAATTGAGTTTGAGACCAATGATTTAAAATAAGCCTAAGGACATGTTGTGGATATGTTTGTGAAGTACATATCAATTGTTCATTAAAACAGCAATAACTTTATATATAAAAGTTATTGCTGTTTTAATGAAGAATTGATATGTACTTCATAAACATATCCACAACATGTCCTTAGGTTTATTTTAATTTGAAAACCCAGATTAAGGTATCTGTGGAAGAGATATAAAAAGGAAAAACATTCAAAAGCCTAAAAAGTTACAGGGAACTGGCTTTGTGGTAAAGGAATCACTGAATGTTTACTAGAAAAGGATTTGTCATTATGTATGTTTACTGATAAAGCATGAAACATGGCCTTTCTTTAAACTATGACTGACTGTTTCTCATGAGCAAAGGTGAACTTTGTCTCCACACTATTACCATCATGCTCTCTATTTGCGTTGGATGAAAGCACACCTGCATGGTTACAGAGATATATGATGTATTGTTATTTCTGAGTAGATTACCACAAGTAAGCAAACAGAACAATATGAAGAGAGTAACCCCGGCAAACTGGTTTTAGGCTGTTAGATACTACACGAGTCTGGACTCACTAACACTACGTTTCTTAAAACCAGGTTATTTGCAATTTAAACAAGTTAAGGCAGTTGTTTTGTTTAAAAGCCTCTATAAGGTTTTACAGGCATAGGTGAAAGGAACATTGTAACAATCCTTAAGCCTTTATATTAAAAGCTAACCAAAATAAATAATAATACCTAATATATATATATATATATATATATATATATATATATTAGGTATTATTATTATTATTATTGTACAGTAGAAGTAGTAGAACCAATATCTCATTTCATATGGGGTTTATTATGTCTTATCTCTAACTGCGAATAAAAAATGTCTTCGCCTAATTTTAAATTTGGAATGCAAAGACGCTAAAATTCGAAACGCCTAAATTTCCCATTCGAAACGTTCGAAACGCAGCTATTCTGTCAAACAAATCAAATCGAAAGTATGTGATAAACGGATATACTTGCAAAATGTCTAGATAAGCAGCGTAAGTTTTAACACACACAGTTCATATAAATGGATTAAATCCACGTACCTTTATATCACAGCCTTGTACAGCGGTATAAGCCAACATTCAAAATGATATTGTATGTAAAGCGAGAAAACCGCGCGTCTCTGGAGGAGTTCACACCAGTTAATTTACTTCCTAGTGTCCTTTGATACGGTCTTTATTGTTGTATTATGTCCAGGTGATCATAATCCTCGAGCGCTGCTGTCATGAGGAGTGTTAACGTTTAGCCGAGCAAAGGTTGGATGAAACTTGTCAGATAGGTTGTTGAGACATTGCCATTTCCTTGTCAGTCACTGGTAGGGATTACCGTCGGGAAAATGAATGGTGTCATGAATTAAGGAAACGAGTTTCAAACGGATTTTGATCTCTTAAACTTCATTATAGACTTTCTTTAGTTATTTAATCACATCATGGCAAGACATAAATAAATAAATAACTACATAAATAAATGTTACACTTCTTTATTACCACATTGTGTTACTGTAGCCTATATACATCTGAGTAGAAACCAACATCTCTCTTCTGCTTATAACTTCTGCATTAGCATCACACACACACACACACTGTATGTGGTTTACGGGGACTCAGGAAGCCTACAGTTTTTATACTGAGCTTTTTTTCTCTTTGTAATACCCATGACATATTATAGGCTACTACACTTTTGTCCTCATAATCCATGTTTTCAAGCACAAACACACACACACACACACACAAAAATATTACATATACATAGTGTACAGTCAGATCTTGAACTTCATATATTGGAAGCATGAAACATGGGCAAAGAGTGGCTTTGACAAGGGCCAGATCGCGATAGTTAGACGACTGGATCAGAACATCAAAACGGTCTTCACCAAACATCACCAAGTCTTGTGGGGTGTTCCCGATATGCAGGTGTTAGTACCTACCAAAAGTGGTGCAAGGAAGGAGATCTGGTGAACCAGTGTCAGGGTCATGGGTGCATGTGGGGAATGAAGGCTAATCTATCTGGTTCAATCGCTGGTCATGATGAGAAGGTATCAGAACACACAGTGCATTGCTGTTTGCTGCTCATGGGGCCACAGACTGGTTAGAGTCCACCACGAAGGAGTATACAATGGGCACGGGAGCATGAGAAGAACTGGACCATGGAGCAATAGAAGAAGGTTGTCTGGTCTGCTAAATCACATTTTCTTTTAGATCATGTGGATGACTGGGTGTGTGTGCATCATTTACCTGGCAGCAGATGCACTATGGGAAGATGATCCAGCTAATCAAGTCCTTCAGGCTTATTTGAAAACGATTTGGTTTGTGTGTTGGAGCAGGGCTGCGGTCCTCCAGAAACTGAGTTTGACATCCCTGATGTACACCCTTCCAGGAAATGGGTTCCTCCCAAATGGTAGTGGCCTCTTTCAGCAAAATAATGCACCCTGACACACTGGAAAAATTGTTCAGGAATGGTTTGAGGACCAAGCGGTCTCCAAATTCCCCAGATCTCAATTCAATTGAGCTTCTATGGGATGGGCTGGTCCAAAAAACAAACAAACAAACAAACAAAAAAAAATGAAATTTGAGGTCTAAATCTAGCTGTAAATTTGAACTATTTGCAAATAATATTTTACAAAATGCACACATTCACTGTTATTTCTACTCAAGTTCACTCGAGTATCTTGTCTCATCACATTCAGTTATGAATTACACGACTCACGTAAACGATACCATATTTTCAAATCTAAACATTGAAATTTAAGAAAAAAGTTGAGTAGTTTGCATCATTGGATATTACTGTAAGACATTTAACATATATGTCGTAAAACAGTTTTTCACTACCTCCTACACTACCTCGCTTTCAACGTTAAAGAAGAAGCTTCGCACTCCGCTTCTGTGAACAGTAAAGCCTGAATTATTTGATTTGATTGGCCATCTGAGATCAATACAGAAATAAAACTTTAAAAAGACAAAAATAAATGCATAAAAAAAAAACACTTGAATACAGAACTTAAAAAATAAAATTCTTTAATTTTTGTTAAAGGGTTAGTTCACCCAAAAATGAAAATGCTGTCATTAATTTTTGGGGTGAACTAACCCTTTAATATTCTTCAAAAATGCCAATACTACATATTACAAGTATATTCATGATAATGCAGGACACAAAAGGCACCTGTTTTGTATAATGAATCACATATTTACTATAAATAATAGTGTTCATAAACTAAAAACAAATGTTACGGTACAGTAAACATTGCTTTGTCTGCAAGATTATAGGTTATAGAAAATTATAACCTGAGATAGAGATAAAATTATGCAACTGGGTGCTAGAAAGAAGACAGCTGCGAGATCAGAATACCACAAATGTATAATTTGTTTGACTTATCTGCGAAAAGCATACAAGGTATACAATACAGATCTGTTGGGGAACCTGCATGAAATAGCAATCTTGAACTTCCTCGTACCTGCAAAGAGACATGCTTTGGTTTACTGCACCATAGGTGTGCTAAATTTGCATGTGAGTAAGCTAATGTCATACAGTGCTAAAAGCAGATTTAACTGTCTGTAGATTCCAACAGGGTTTTGTGTTTAGAAAGACCATTCGGTTATTTGTGTTGAAAATGCTCCAGCTTAGATACTGTAATACACTGTACATTGTCCTCAAAGCAATAGTAGTAGCAATAGTTCAGACTTTTGTATTTCATGAACTATCAACATTAAGAGTCTGCAGCACACCCTTGAGTATTGAAACAAATCCTCTGATGGCATGCTGGTTTACGGGCTGCTGTTTGACAGATACCACTAGGCTTTCATCAATGCCAGGGGCATGCTGGTCCCCCTGCAGCAGTTCGGCGAGGATCAGGGTCCCAGTGCTCCTGGTGTAAATGTAGGCCTTCCACGGCACAGTGGCTCCCGGGGTGAAGGCCAGAGTTTGGATCTTCACCAGCTGTAAGGCAGCCTGTAACGTATCCAGAGCCGTTCTGGGTCGAGGGAAACCCATAGTTTGCCTTTGGAGAATCTCCAAGTCCAGCCACATTTTCTCAAAAGTCTCATGGGATAAAGGAGGACCCAGAGATAGACTGATCTCCTCTTCTGTGTCATCTGGGCTGGAGAGGGTTACATCTGTACTTTCTGTTAGTCAGAGAAACACGGGTGGGGTGAGACAGTTTTATGATGCTATATTAGTATTGCATTTATTATAAAAGTATAATTTAAATGTATGATATCATAATATTTATAATTTTAATACAAATATTATTATTAAAGTATTTAAAATTAAACATTAACCAAAATAAAATAAAATATAAATAATTACAATTATTTTTTATAAAAAATAATTAATACATTTTTTTGTTTAAAGTTGAGGTAATAAAATAACTAAAACTAAGAAATAAGTGTAATAAAAAATATACACACATTTAAAAAAAAGGTAGGATGAGACATATATGATGTTGTATTGGTATTGAATTTATTATAAAATTAAAAATTAAATGTACAATATTAAATTTTACTTACTGTATATTTAATTAAATCACAATTAAAATTAGGTAAACAATAAAAATTGAGTTATTGTCAGGATTAATATTATTAACTAAAACGGATTTTAAAAAATCATTTTTAATTAAACATTAACCAAAATAAAATAAAATATAAAAAACAAGGTAACATTTTTACATTTTCGTTAAAGTACTAAAACTAAATATACTAAGAACTAAAACTTGATAATAATAATTAAATATATATATATATATATATATATTAGTAGAGTGTGTATGTGTGTGTATACATATATATATATATATATATATATAGTAAAACAAGCAAAATTGTTTTTGTCATATACCATAGCTATGCATGACTACACACTAGACAAACACAGCCAAGGTGAATAGAAAATATTTTTATTGTTAAAAATATTTTAAACATTTTTATAAATTGAAAAAATAAACAACTGAAATAAAATGAAATAAAAACCACACACACACACATATATATATATATATTTTAATGAAAATTAAACAAACATAATAAAGTAAATGCTAAATTATAACTTTTTATAGTTATTAAGATAATATAAAAATCATAAAAAACTGATGCAATTAAAATAAATCTGCTTTACCTGGCAACAGCTCCTTTTCTGCGCTGCTGGATGGCTGGTCAGCGGCTGATATAACAGCAGTCTGAGGGCATAAATCGCATCCAGACAGCGGGCCGAGTGTGTTGAAGGTAGAGGCCCACTGACTAATGGGCTCTTCTTGCCGTCCGGTGAGAACACTCATGGACGGATCGGATTTGGGTCCAGTTACAACCTTCCTCGTCTCTTCAACTCCCCGCTGAAGAAGTCTGTAGCACAGCAAAGCCCGGTCACGCACACACACGTCGCTCTCTTCCTCTGCGGTGGACCAAAGAATATTAAATCAATTACAGAAGCAAGAAGCTCTTGACTAAATATGTCAAAGGAAGGGCACATCTGTGACCATTTCTCAGAATGAATCGCACAGACTGAAAATAAACTAAAATGAGAACAGGGAAGGAGGACCTGTGGCACGGTTTCTAAAATACTATGTGCACATAAATGACTAGCATAACAGACTAATATATACATAGACTACTATTTAGACATATACGTGATGTGATCTTGGAGCACAAAACCAGTCTTAAGTAGCATGAGTATATTTGTAGCAATAGCTAACAATACATTGTATGGGTCAAAATTATAAATTTTTCTTTTATGCCAAAAATCATTAAGATATTAAGTAAAGATCATGTTCCATGAAGATATTTTGTAAATGTCCTATCGTAAATATATCAAAACTTAATTTTTGATTAGTAATATGCATTGCTAAGAACTTCATTTGGACAACTTTAAGGCAATTTTCTCAATATTTCGATTTTTTTGTTGCTTCTATTTGAAATTGTCTGTAAACGTGCTCTACACACCAATACAGTAATGTAAAAGACGGCCCAGCATGTCTTGAGTCTCAGCGGGGCGGCACAGGAACATCTTGACCGAGGCAGTCAGCAGCTCCATCTTCACGGCCGAGGACAGCTCAGTCTTCAGCCCGTCTATGTAGCCCTCCATCACATAGGGGGCGCTACTGATCTGATCACCATGTTCTCCCAGAAGCCATAACAGAGCCTGCTTTCCCTGAGAAAAACAGTGGAAGGATTTATCCTTCTCTGACAAGTCAAACATAAATTTTGGCCAACTTGTATTTTGTAAATATAGACAAACTAAGACTAATTTATCTTATTACCTTTTCAATTGCAAGACATATGCTAAAATGCTAAAATTTTTGTAGGCGATAATAAATTGACAAAGTATGGATTTCTTTACAAAACTAACATTTTTGTTTCCATTTTGTTTGTGGGATTGTGAAAAAAAAGCATCAAAAAGTGCCGAACACAGTCTGCTTCTTGTAGATGGTCAAAACAAAAGGCAGGCGAATCATCTCACCTCACTATCTTGAGGACTGTCAACACAGGCCTCCACGGTCTGACACACAGCGGCTGTGCTCTGAGGACAGAACCACACCAAATCCCTGAACATCTGGATCACAGCTAAACACACACACACACACACACACACACACACACGAAGAGTTGATTCTGTTAACTGATTATGTCTGTTTGCAAACAAAGCTATTATCCAAGCTGGAGAAAGTGCCTGCTAAAAGGGTTTTGAAAAGCAAACAGTACCTCCTTCAGAAACAAACAAAAAAATTACTCTGCTTTACTCATTAACTAGAAGATATAAAAATCACAAGCATGCACAGGTTTGGCTCTGCTTTCTCTCACACCTGACGTGATGTGATCCTGTTTCAATGCCAGCAGTCCGGTCAGGATATCCAGACACTTTTCACTGTATGTTTGTGCAATACGACCTTAAAAAAAAGAGAGAGAAAAATGTTTATAGTTAAAGGGGTCATATGATGCGATTTCAATTTTTCCTTTCTCTTTGGAGTGTTACAAGCTCTTGGTGCATAAAGAAGATCTGTAAAGTTGCAAAGACTAAAGTCTCAAATCCAAAGAGATATTCTTTATAAAAGTTAAGAGTCAGCCACACCTACCTAAAACGGCTCGTTCTAACACGCCCCCACATACCTACCTCACTATGTGGGAAGATTTGCATAACGCCGCCCAAATGTTCACGCAAAGAAAGAAGGCGAAACTTTTATTCTCACTGTAGTTTTGTTGCCGCCGCCGCCATGTCGTGAAGACGCTGTGTTTCGTTGTGAAAGCGAAACTACTTTGTTTGGTCTTCCAAAAGAGGAGGATATCCGCTTCGTCATGCCTAGAGCTGATCCGTGCTGGTCACTGAGGAAATACATTAACTTCGCGCTGTGGATCGCCGGATCGGCTTTCACCGTGGACGAAGCGGAGTCCAGCCCGGGGTCGTCACATGTGGTTGCCGCAAGCCCACCTGCTGCGCCGTTCGCAAGTCCGCCTCCACTCACTCTAGCACGCCGTGCGTGACGCTGTATTTCGTTGTGAAAGCGAAACTACTTTGTTTGGTCTTCCAAAAGAGGACACGACTAACAACTTTATTTTATTTTATTCTATTCCTATTCTATCTATAGCACACCTGTACATACAATTTATTCTTTTTTTGTGGTTTATATTTATGCATGTGTACTTTATTCACATCTTATTTTTATTATCTGTGTGTTGTTGTTGTCTCTGTGTACTGGAAGCTTGTGACACTATAACAAATTCCTTGTATGTTTAAACATACTTGGCAATAAAGCTCTTTCTGATTCTGATTACACCAAATACATAAAATAATGTTCTTCTTAGCAACATCATATGACCCCTTTAACAAAAATTTAGAAGTAACAGTAATAGTCATTTCAGCAGAAAGCTGCGATGATAAATTAAAGAGTGCGATTTATATTACAGGACAAGCGATATGAAATGCCATACTGCCAGCTGTGGAAATATTACATTTAAAAGTTAACCTTAGTCAGTAAATATAATATATATATTTTTTTACATAAATGAAAACAAAGCCATTAAAGATTAAAATTATGTCTGTTTAGAAGTATATGCATTTTTTTAAATGCCTCACATTATTACAAATTTTTACATATCACTTTCTAAGGGTACAGATTGTGTCCCTTTACTTTTGTGAAAACAAAGGTTCAAATTCCATAATAAATCTGTAAGATAAATTATTATATCTTAGCATGAAGAAGCTAGTTTTAGTCAAATCTCTGTACTACTAATACCCTTAAATTGTTATTTTTGCCTGTGCTGAATGATCTCAAATGTATCTAATAATTAAAATCATACAACATTATAATTAATAATATATTAATAAAAAAAATATCAAAGTAAAATAAAACATAAATATAAAATTCTTAAATAAATATTATATTTATAGGTTTTTACAATGAATTGATGTTAGAATGATATTCAATTAAATGTATAAAACTATCAAAAATCTTTATACTTTTTTTTTTTTACAGAAAAGGAACATTTAACTGTCTTGTTACTTTGCGTGCAACCCAGTTACCATTAGATTTTCTCTTTTAAAAAAGGGCAAAAAACAAAACAAAACAAAACCCTGATTTAAACTCTGTTACCCATTTTGGTGTTTATTTATTTATTTTACATGAATATACAAATAAATCAATTAAATTTGTTAATTTACAATGCATTACTAAATGCAATGAAATCAGACAGGATTGTAAACTATATTCAGACAAAATTGTAATAACAGGGTTGCAAATCGCAAAACAAATTTCAAATAAATTAATAAATGAATGACTGAGAAAGAAAGAAAGAAAGAAAGAAAGAAAGAAAGAAAGAAAGAAAGAAAAAGAAAGAAAGAAAGAGAAAGAAAAAGAAAGAAAGAAAGAAAGAAAACCTTGATTGTGCAAAATGCCTACAACCTTCAATTTGACATTTGCTCCTCAAAATGAAGTTTCTGTATTTTAAACATTGTTTAATCAAATGAGAGAAACAAACAGCATCTTGTACCTATAGCGGCAATGGCTGCCTGGGCCAGTTCAGGAGACACATCAGTGCAGTAGCTTCTCAGCTCCTCCAAAACCAAAGCCACATTTTCATCATTCACCAGCTCCACCAGGATCTCCATCTTGCGAAACTTAATGTAAGTCGGTTCAGAGTATCCACAAAAGAAGCGCTTGTAATGTGTGCCGAAAAGGCCCGGCTGACTCCGCATGACCTGCTGTACGTGACAGAGGCCAGCAAAGCGAAGCTCGCGTGACGCAGCACCGCAGGTGGCCAGCAGGGGCGCACTTGTGCACAGGAGGGCGTCGGCCTGCACAGCCGGGTGGGCGGAGGCTAACTGAAGGAAGAGGCGGAGCGTGGCAACAGCGACATGTGCGTGAGCACTTTGGAGGAAGGAGTCTAGAAGGCTGAGGATGTCGAACAACTCGTCGTCGCTACGAGGACGGTAACGTAGCAGGAAGGTGAGGACCTCACTCTGAGCCCAACTGTCCAGGTCCTTCATTCTGAAGGAGAAAACACATGAAAACACAAAGTCGCTCATTAGACAATCTGCTAAATAGGCATGCATTATGCTTTTGAAAGCCTTTGAAAACATTTTGCCCTGCAAAAATGCAACTCCGTGTTGTTTTTTGTTAACTAATACTAAAGCCATTAAAAAATAAAAAAATAAAAAAATAAAAAATATTAGAAATTGAAACTGAAATAAAAATAAAATGTTCACGCAAAGAAAGAAGGCGAAAATATTAGATGAAAAAATGTTGCTTTGGCAACTAACTGAAATACATTTAAGTACTAAAACGACTAAAACTAAAACTGAAAAGTTATTAAAACTAAATAGAAACGCTATAACAAAATTACTATAACCTAAAGTAAGTTTAAAATTAAAATATAAAAACAAAAGCTCACTGAAAACTGATAAATACTATAATAGTATATAAATATACCAGTGTTATTTTAGTATCATTTAGATACGATTATAATTTTTAATAATATTTTGAATCATTTTTATATTTTGATTTTAGTTTACTGTTTTCGTCTGTTTTTTTTTTTTTCAGTTTTAGTTTTAGCTATTTCAGTACATCAAGTTAAACTAAATTCAAATGAGAACTGTTGGCAACTAGCTGAAATAAAAAAGTTAGTTTTTTTAAGTAATGGATTTATTTTTTTATTTTTTTTAGTTAACTATAAAATCCTGAAATAGCCTAAAATAACACTGGAAGCATCTTCCCAAAAATATAATATATATGTAAAAAAAAAAAAAACAAATTAGTAATTTAGGATTTTTTTTAAATATACTGTAAAATATACTGAAAATACAGAAAATGTTTTCAAGATACATTTACAATACAAGATACAAGAAAATTTTATTATTTTTGTCATTAAACAAAATCTTTTTGAAAATGTTTTTTCAAAACTACAAAACCAAGATGATTACAAAGAGCACATTTCTTGTCTAGAACTTAAAACATGCTGTAAACTAAATGTTTGACATTCTTAAAACAACATGAAGGTGACATGTTTGGATGAACTATTTTACATAAATAACATAATGGCAAAAATGGCACACACCTGTTGAGAAGATGATGAGCAATGGGTTTGTTAATAACCACACCACCCTCATCTTTGAGAATTTCCTCCAAGGCACGAAGACAGTTCACTACAACCACAGGGTCCGGGTCCCTCAGAAGAGCATATAGCTCATTCACTATAGTGCCATCTAAACGATACACATCCAGAGCATTTATTTACATTTATTCATTTGGCAGACACTTACACATATATTTAAAGAAACTATATATTTAAAGGAAAAGTTCACCCAAAAACTAAAATCTGCTGAAAATTTTGCATCACTTGCTCACCAGTGGATGCTCTGCAGTGAATGGGTGCCGTCAGAATGAGAGTCCAAACCGATGATAAAAACATCACAGTAATCCACAAGTAATCCACACCCCTCCAGTTCATCACTGTGAAGCAAAAAGCTGAGTGTTTGTATTAAATAAATCTATCATTAAGACGTTTTTAATTTCATAACATTGCGTCTGGCTGAAATATGAGTCCTCAATCCATAATATTGCTTTTTTCAGCGAAAAAGTCACCTCGTTTGAATCAGGACAGAAATATGCACAGATCAAACACTTTACAAGCGGAAGCAGTTCAAAACACAAAGGCTTGGATCTCTCACTGGTGGAAGCGTTATTATGGATCATGGACTGGTATTTTGGCCAGAAGTGACAGTCTGAAGTTAAAAATGAAAAGAAAAAAAATAATAATGATGGATTTGTGTTTTATAAACACACAGCTTTTCTCTACACAAGACTGATGGACCGGAGTGGTGTGGATTATTGTGATGTTTTTATCAGCTGTTTGGATTCTCATTCTGACGGCACCCATTCACTGCAGAGCATCCATTGCTGAACAAGTGATGTAATGATACATTTCTCCAAATCTATTCCCATGAAGAAACAAACTCATCTACATCTTGGATGGCCTGAGGGTGAGGACATTTTCAGCTAATTTTTATTTTTGGGTGAACAGAACTGTAATTCAGACATTCTACATTCATTACATAAAAACATTAACCAGACCCTTACAGAAAGGCTGTTCAAATCCCCTGAGGCTACACACCCAGCACATTTAGGAAATACAGGAAATGCTACTGTACTGCTGTTTAGAAGCATCATGATAAACATTTCCTGATTTCCCCCTGCTTTTGATAAAAAAGTGGCTGTTTTCAACAAAAATGCAATCCAACATGTTGTCTACAAGTATGTGATGTGTTCTGTTGAAAATATGTTCTTTCTAGTTAAGAATTCTTGACATGCTGTTGGTCATCACAGACGCTGAACCACAAACATTCCTTTAAAGGGAACAGTCTGACCTAAAATCATAAATCTCTCTGCTTATGCCTATTTATGCACATGTATTAAAATAAGCAAGTGATATTTATCACATTATCCTTAGCAAGTGTAATAATTCAGATAAACAGAATACTTGGCTCTACCGATGTCTGTGTTGGGCTGCAGACTGTGCATTTTGGCGCAACCAAGCACAGCGACTCTCCTTACGTAACTGGCCTTGTCCCGCAGACCAGCAACAATGGGCTGCTCTATGTACTCTGTCATTCCCGGCATCCTGAAAAACAAGCAAATAAAAGAAGAAAATAACTAGGTTGCAAGGTGACTGCTAGGGTGTTGTTAGGTTGTTGTTGTTGTGTTGTTCTGAATGGTCTCTAGGTTGTTGCTAAGCGATTCTTAAGATGTCCTGGGTGCTTGCTAGTTTATTACAGTGTTCTGAACGGTTGGTAGGGTGTTGCTAAGGTGTCTTGGTTGATTGCTAGGGTGTCGCTAAGATATTGTTGTGAAGTTCTGGGTGGTTGCTAGGTTGTTGTTTGTTAGGGTGCTAGAAGCCAAATTGTTGCAGTGTTGTGGAACATTGCTGGGACATATCTTGGCTGTTGTTGTGGTGTTCTGGATGGTTGCTAGGTGATTACTAGGGTGTCTTGGATGGTTTTTATATGGTTGCTAAGCTGTTGTTTTTGTGTCCTGAATGCTTGCTAGGGTGTCTTGTGTGCTTGCTCCATATTTTTAGGAGTATCCTGGGTAGTTACTAGGGCGTTCCTTGTTAGAGAGTAGCAAGGTCAACTGTTGCAGTGTTTGTTGCTGGTGCACTGTTTGAATGTTGTCGCTGTGTTCTGGGTGGATGTTAAAGTGACCTGGGAGGTTTCTAGGGTGTTGCAAGGCTGATTGTTAGGGCATTGTTAATGACTCCTAGTGTGTCTTGGATGGTTGCTAGAGAATTGCTTTTTAGGGTGTTGCTGGGCTGCTGTTGTGTTCTGAATGTTGGCTAGAGTGAAGTGCCCTGGGTGATTGTTCCTGTGTGGCTCCTAGGATAATTGTTAGGGTGTTACTAAGATGTTGTTACAGTGTTCTAAGGTGTCCTGGGTAGTTGCTAGGGTGTTGCTTGTTCGAGTGTAGCAAGCCAAACTGTTACAGTGTTTGTTGCTGAAGTATTGTTTGAATGATGTCACTGAGTTCTGTGTGGTTGTTAGAGGGTTGCTAGGGAGTATTGGATGGTTGCTAGGGCATTGCTTGTTAAGGTGTTGCTAAGCTGTTGTTGTAAAATTCTGAATGGTTGCAAGGGTGTTGCTAAGTGATTGCAAAAGTGTCCTGGAAGGTTGCTAGTGTGTTTCTTGTAAGCATGTTGCAAGGCTGACTGTTGTGGTGTTCTGGATGGTTGTTAGGGGGTTGTTACGTGACTGCTAGGATGTCTTGGATGGTTGCTAGGCTGTTGTTATGTTCTGAATGCTTGCTAGGGTTGCTGAGTGATTGCTAGGGTGTCTTGTATGGTTGTTAGGGTGTTGCTTGTTATGGTGTTGCAAGGCTGACTGTTGCAGTGCTCGTTGCTGATGCATTGTTTGAATATTGTCACTATATTCTGGGTGGTTGTTAGGGTGTCTTGTATGGTTGTTAGGGTGTTGCTTGTAATGGTGTTGCAAGGCTGACTGTTGCAGTGCTCGTTGCTGATGCATTGTTTGAATATTGTCACTATATTCTGGGTGGTTGTTAGGGTGTCTTGGATGGTTGCTAGGGCGCTGCTTGTTAAGGTGTTGCTAGGCTGTTGTTGTAGAATTTTGAATGGTTGCAAGGGTGTTGCAGTATTCTGGGAGGTTGGTAAGTTACTACTAAGTGATCACTAAGGTATCTTGGGTAGTTGCTAGGACGTTGCTTGTTTGTTGCTGTGGCACTGTTTGAATGTTGTTGCCATGTTCTGGGTGGTTTTTAGGGCATTGTTAATGACTCCTAGTGTGTCTTGTATGGTTGCAAGATCATTGCTTGTTAGGGTGTTGCTAGGCTGCTGTTGTGTCCTGAATGCTTGTTAGGGTGTCTTGTATGGTTGCTAGGATGTTGCTTGTTAGGGTGTTGCTAAGATGTTGTTGTGGTGTTTGATATGGTATTGCTAAGTAATAACTAAGGTGCCGTGAAAAATGCACATCTATGATATTCTGGGTCTAGACAGACAAAAAGAACATACAAACCTGAAGTTGCACATGTTCCTCAGGGCCAACCCTCGCACCATGGGATTGGGATCAGCGCAGTCCTTACGGAGCGTGTTGATGGCCAGCAGCGCCAGGTCAGGCTTGTCACTGGCATAGGTGCACATGTACAGATAAACCAGCTTCTTCTGAGCAATATCGACTGTAGCACTGGCTTTCACCATGTCCATAAATAAAGCCGAGACATCCAGACCCTGTGTCATGTACCTTCAAAGAAACAACATTTCACAAGTTCTGTCTAATTAGCTACAGTGGAATTATCTAATTATGATTATTATTATAATCTAATTATGGTGGATATCAAGATGTGCAGTATAATAAATAATGAATTAAATGTTGTTCTGTTTCTCATAGAATCTGCAGCTTCATAAGGCTTGAAAGATATGCGTTAGACTAATTTATGATAATTTTTCATTCAGGGATTCCCACTCATTTTTAACCAACAAATTTCCACGACTTTTCCATGAACCAGTCACATGTGACTACTGGATAATAATTACTGAATAAGAAATATTGGTAACGCTTTACTTGAAGGGGTGTGCATAAGACTGACATGACACCTTCATAATCATGACATGACACATGTCATGAATATGAAGGAGGTTTTATGCATGTTTATGACAACTGCCATTAAGTGTCATTCGCTCAGTTGGCATTTTTAATGCAAATATGACATTATTTGACCTAACCCTAACCTAACCCTACCCCCCCCTAACCATAGCCCATAACAAAGACATCTCAAACAATGTCATCTTTGCATTAAAAATTACATAACTGAGTGAATGACACTTAATGACAGTTGTCATAAACATGCATAAAAAACCTTCACACATGTCATGATTATGTAGGTGTTATGTCAGTCTTATGCACACCCCTTCAAGTAAAGTGTATCCGAAATATTTTTGATTTTATTTGCTAATAAGTCATTGAAACTGATTTGTTTAACGCCATTCCAGTTTCTGTGGCTATTTTCATGGTTTCAAACAGAACAATTTGCTAACATTACTATGTCTTGCAAACTATTTAAATTCTACACACCACTGTACACAAGCAATATCTAACTGCCACATTATTTACACTTTTTTAACATTTTATTAATTTCAATAATGATTCAGGCATGGACATACTATTTTAACAGTGGAGATTAATAGTGGATATGATATTAACAGGTTTTCCATGATTGTTTGGTGCTTTATTGGTGGTTGACAACTCCAGTCCCCATTCACTTTCATTGTATGGAATGTAGCAATTTGAACATTCTGCTAAATATCTAGGTTTCTGTTTCACAGGATAATATCAGGGATAGTATCTTAAGCAATTTGTTTGTCCTTTTGAAAACTGTCTCCTTCTTTAAAAACAAGGTGATCACTTCACGGACCTGATGACTTTGGTGATGTAGTTTTTGTACCGGAGACGGTCTGCTTGAACATTTGGATTGGACAGAGCTCGCTTGAGCTCTTTTACCATCTCCTCCGAGCCAAAATAAGGCATTGTCTTGATGATGTCTTCTGGTTTGTGCCTAATCATAATAACAAATATCATAATAAGAGTCAGTCTGACAGCACAATAACACACAAATTAAATCATCTCCGCCAAAACAATTAATAGTCAATCCATCCTAATTAAAGTCAGCCTGACAGTACAGTAACAGACCAACATATATATATAAAGACCGGAATATGATTGTATACACTGCCATTGCACTTGTTGTTTAGCTCTTTATGGAGCGCGCATCTATTAAGCAATAGATCATTTATCATCTCCATTTCTAAACGTACAAATACGCTTTTTGCACACACAAAGGGCGAGTAAGACATACGTATGTAACATACCTCCTGTATCACTTTAAAAACAGTAAATCAACATACACTCATCTAAAAATAACAGTGAGAACTGAATATTAGAATCCATCGGAGCGTATTTATGTCAATCAGGAAGCGTGAAGCCGGAAATCAAATCAGCTATCTACTTCCTCTCAAACATGTTCTAAAATTTCAAATTAAAAGCCTTTTGACTTTTTGAGGGAAACAATTATATATATATATAACAAATATTTTATTAAATTTTTAAATATTTCATAAATATAATATATATATATATATATAATATAATATATAATATAAATATAATATTTTATTACATTTTTAAATAATTCAATTAGTATAGACAATCTAAGCTTTGCTATAAGCTATAAACTCTCTTTTTCCATTTTAAAATGTTGTTTAAATAATGTACGTAACGTTGTACTCGACAGCCCCTTTCTACACTGAATTTTATTTATTTATTTATTTTATTTTTTTCTTGATAAATAGTTAACCTTGAGGGAGGATGTAAAAGAGCTGCATTCATCGGGTTTTCTTTGGTTGTATTTTAGGTTTGGCCTAACAGCGGAATGTAATTCACAATTGCATTATGCTGTATTATTATACATGTAGTGTACTTTCAACTACGCTGTGTTGATTCACTGATAAATTGGTGTTTAGCTCAAATTAACACGGTATAACACTACCTGGAGGTTATTTTTAAGTAAATACATTATGACATGCTTTATTAGAAAACCATGTTAAGCCCCAGTCATTGACTTCTTTGATGCAATAGGAGTAAATGGCAAAGTCTTTATATTAGCAATTAATTAAATGTATGTAAAAAACTCACAATTTCTACCTGAAAAATGTTTAGCATAACTATAAAAAGTATTAATGAAATTTATAATTTACCCAAGTAGTTATATAAGATTTTGTTAATTTAGGTAAATTTTCCAGGTCTAGAAATAATATAGGTGGGGGGGAAATATGCCGAGGGGGTGAATTAAAATGAGAACTATATATATTTTTAGCTTATTTTGAAGTTAGAAATTAGAAGTTTGCTCTATTTTCTGTAAATTCACTCATATTTATTCATATTATTACTATCCATAGCACTGTAAATATGTGTAATCTGTATGTATTTGAAATATTCTGACTTAACAAGTCTTCATATGTTTTCATATTTTAATTTATTTTTTATTTTTATTTGTTTATATGTGTGCACTGGAAGCTTCACTGCCAAGTAAAAGTCCTTGTGTGTGCAATCACGCTTGGCAATACGAGGTCTTTTATTTTGGCATGCGGTCGGTGCGGTCATTCTGATGAGCAGTCGCTAGGCGGCGCTGGACAGCAGCAGCAGCGAGTCGTGTGTGTGTGTGTGTGTGTGTGTGTGTGTGTGTGTGTGTGTGTGTGTCAGCGAAAGATCTCTGAAGATGCTGGAGAGGTAGCTAGTCTGACGGGATGGCCGGAATCATCAAAAAGCAGATCCTGAAGCACCTGTCCAGGTAAGCTGCGCGCGGAGCGTCGTGTTTTGATTAGTGTCAGTAGTGTTAGTGTTTGCCTCAGATGACTGACTGTTATCACGGGACCCACACACTCACACCGCTGATAAACAACACACACACACACACACCCGCTCAGTGCAGCAGAACCTGTGCCTGATATATCTGGCATTAATATAAATGCATATTAGCTGACAGGCTAATGGACTGCAGCATCACTGCTGCAACAACACAAGTCACCTGCACACTAAAACACAAACACTGGGCCTGTGACAGAGCAGTGTCACGCTCAACTTGCCTTTTCTCTTTAGGGAAACTCGGGAAACTCATACTTAGCATGACAGTTCATATACAAGTACTTTAACCAGAAATAAAAAGTAGTATTCAACAGCGACATTAGCTGTTTTTGTCTTTGATTTGCGCTTATTTACTCCGTGCGTGGTTATGGGCTGGTAAATGAAAGGTTGTAGGTTTGAATCCCGCAAGGCTGATCAATGAAATCACCTCTGTGCCCTTGATTAAAAAAAAACATCTGGTGTTTTTGTCCAGATGTTGGACGTCCTAGAGTTTTATTCATCAAGCACTCCTGCCAATCAAATTCTGGTCATTTGTCTGGTTTTAGGGACAGGTTTTTGACAGAAGTGTTAACTATCTAAAGACGCAGGTCCAGAAATATGTCATATTTAGGTCAGTGTTATTTTAGTATCTTTGGTAGGCAATTATAGTTTTTATTCATATTTTGAATAGGTTTGTATTTTTATTTTTTTTTTACATATTTCACTTCTAATTTTAATTCTAAAATTTGAGTTAATGTTTTTAGTATTTTTATAGTAATTTATTATTTTTTATAGATTTTTTTAATGATTTTTTTTTTTACACTTTAAATATGTCAATATTTTTTATTTCAGTTTTGGTTACATTAGTACTGCAAGTTAAACTAAATGAAACTGTGTTTTGAAGTTTTCGTTAAATTAGATTTAAGATTACATTTTATTTTTCACATTTCTATGTTTGTTTTTTAATGTTTATTTTAATTTTTTTAGATTAAGTTAAATTTCATTTTATTTTAGGTAACTGTTTTTTAATGGTTTTAGTTTGAACAATAATAGCCATCATTTGGGTGAACTTTAGCTGTAATATGTGTGTTGTAAGATGCTATACAGTAAAGACATGAGGGTTGGCTGGACTGAAAGCCCTTTGTCCTGATCCAGTTTTAGAGGAAAGGTTGTCCTGAAACAGATTTGGGCCAGGCTGATTGATTCGGTGACTACATATTACGGTAAGTCCTCATATTGGCCATAAAACAAAGTGAAGACTGTGGGTCAGGCCATCGTCTCCTTTTATCCTTGTCACTTTAAAACTTGGTTGTCTATGGGCTGTGGCATTTCTGTGGCAACACTTCAACACCCATGATGCACCGATCCATAGTCCGTAGTTAGTTTTCACAAAAACCCTGGAGCTGTCATAGACAAATCTGGTTAAAAATCCACAAATCTATCCTTTAAGTCACTTAACCTCAGGTTACCCCAGTGGTTTTGTCCCTGTAATAAATTAACTTTTAGTCACTTTGAATTAAAATCTGCTATAATACTGGAACAGAGATATAAAAATAACACAGTAGAGAGAGAGATATTCTTCAGAAGGCTGAAGTCGTTGTACTCCAGTGTTTAGGCTCTGATTACCCAGCATGCTCTCTGTGGGTGTAAAAACACATGCTAGTTCCTGCTGTTCTGAGTCACGGCTGAAGCTCTGCCAGCTCTCCCTCGTTCAGATCAGCCTCTCCTCCCTTCACTGAGTCAGATAGCCGTCATATTGTCATGCTTGTTGACACACACACACACACACTCTCCCGGACCTTCTCCTTAGTAACGTTTACTAAGGCAAACCTCACTATTACTAGTGGTCATACTGAGGTCAATACTGATTTTAGCAGACCTCCTCTAAATATCAAACTTTGACGTGCAATTTATCATTTTTGTGCTACAGACATAAATGCCACTTTAAATGAGGGAGAGACATGCTGTTTCTTTTTCAGTCATAAGTGATTAGACTTATCATTTTTGCCTGGGAGACAATAAACCAGATATAAAAATCCATTAGATTTCCATTGAAGGAGTCATATGTAGCTCTTGTATTAGGTTGCAGGTACATTTGACCCATTAGATTTTTGAATGGTTAGAAATACTGTTTAATATATGGTGTTTATTTTTATTTTTTTTGTGACTTTCTCATTTAGGCTCATGAACATGCTTGTGAACACTGAAATCTTGTGGAATATGCATACACAATTTAAAACGAGAGAATTTAACCTGCATATTTCATGGTTAATGGTCAATTTGGCCCTGACCATAATGATGACAGACACCCAGATTTTGAAACTAATATGAGGACTAGAGACCAGAATATCATATCAGAATAGCTTTAGCGTTGTGTTGGTGACTTTTTTTTCACTTACATTAAAGGGGTCATATGATGCGATTTCAAGTTTTCCTTTCTCTTTGGAGTGTAAGGACTGTTTCCTGTGAGAGTAGACTACAATGCCGGTGTTCTGACTAATAATGCTGACTCACAGCCTGTAAGTGCGTTTTCATATTTAAAGGATTTGCCACTGATGATTCAAACGCGAGTTTTGAGCAGTACGCTTGAGGTATTCGGCCAATCACAACGCACTGGATTGCTGGCCAATCAGCATACACCTTGCTTTTCAGACCGATGAGCTTTGTAAAAATCGACGCGTTTCAGAAAGGCGGGGCATAGAGGAGAAACAATAATGTACAGTATGTGGAAAATAATGTGTTTTTTTAACCTTAAACCGCATAAATACATTTCATTACACCAAATACACAACATAATGTTCTTTTTTAGCAACGTCATATGACCCCTTTAACAGTAGTCAGTGTGTGAGTGGCACTGAACAGCCAACACTGCTGAAGTAGATTAAGCTGCTTCTTCATCTGCTAAGTGAGACGGATACAGGACAATCCAGCTGGAGTAACTTGGGGTTAAGTGCTTTAGTCATATGATAGCTCGTGGCACGCTCCATCTGGGGATTGAACTAGCAACCTTCTGCTTCTCAGGCTGTAGAGACACCACAGGCTCAAAAGTGAAGTTTTGTGTCCTTTAATCCATGTTGGTCAGCACTGAGGCCTTGAAATGCAGTTACACATGCATTCCTCCCCAAAAACAGAATAAAAATATTAATGACTCTTCTTGCACTCAGGACCGTTTTCAAATGAAGTCTCCCTAGAATGAGAACATCCTTCCCCCAGTACCACCTGCAACTCACTGGAAAATGGTGGTTTGTGATTGTCATAAACTAAAGGCTATTGGCTATTAAAAAAGACAAGCAATGTGTCCAGCCTAGGAACTAAAAGAAGGAAAATTGAGATGATTTCCTGAGGTTTTTAACTGTTACACCCCAAGGCTTTGATGTTGCAGTCTTGCAGAAACTGTCCTTTTATAAGAATGGGTTGTTTTGCCAAGTTTTCTGGGAAGGAAGCAGAGCCGATCCTCCCTAAGTGCAAAATACGCAAGCTGCGTAGGGCCCCCGAAACACCAGGGGGCCCCCTTGCTCTCAAAGATGATTTAATTTCAGTTTCGTTTTTGAATTTGGCCAGCGGTTATGAAAACATGAA